TGTTAAATAAGTCATTATTATATTAGTTATTTATTTAATATATTAATTTGTAGTTTGAAATTCTCTTTCATTTTCGTACGTCATTTCATGCTTTAATAAAATTTTATACTTTTCTTCAATTTGTTCTTGAACAGGTATTCAATCCCAAGAAACAGCCTAAAAGTTTTCAGATGTAAATTTCAACATCAGGCAAACCATTTTGACATTATCATGAAAAGTATATCATAGTAATAATTCATTTAGGTGAAAAGTTCAAGGCTACAAGAGAAGATAATTTCCATGCATGTAGTATACGTATGATAACAAAAATACCTGAATTCATAAAAAAGGCGCCTGCTAGAAATCTTGAATTACTGAACTCATCTATATATATATATATATATATAATAGCAATAATTTATTTATGTGAAAAATCAAAGGTGCAAGAGATATAATTTTCCCATGCATAAAAAAATACATAGTCAACCTTCAGAAAAGTAGCAATATTCCGTGTTTAATTTTCAAATCAACCAGCTAGCAATTCTGGTCTATATAAACAGGGCAAATTAGTATCCTACTCTCATATCATAACACAAATAAACTGGTCAAGAGCAAAATGAAGTACTTTGTATTCTCTTCATCGTTAGCCAAAATTATGATGATGTTCCTTTTTCCATTTGTGTTAGCAGCTTCAGCTTATCACAATCATGAAGACTTTCTTCAATGCCTAAACTCTCGTATATCCAAGTCGAACTCTACCTTCCCTCCTCAACCCATTATCTACACTCAAAATGATCCGTCGTATCTCAATGTATTGAACTCATCCATACATAATGACCGTTTTTCTTCTCCTTCAACCCTAAAACCATTTGTTGTCATCACGCCATTTCATGCCTCCCACATCCAAGCCGCTGTTTTTTGCTCCAAAAAACATGGCATGCAAATAAGAACCCGAAGTGGCGGCCATGATTATGAGGGCTTTTCTTATGTCTCTAGTGTCTCGTTTGTCGTAATTGATATGAGAAACCTTAATTTGGTCAACGTAGATGTGGCGAGTAAATCTGCTTGGGTTCAAGCTGGAGCTACCCTTGGTGAACTCTATTATAGGATTGCTGAAAGAAGTAGAAATCTCGCGTTCTCAGCCGGCGATTGCCACACTGTTGGTGTTGGTGGACAGATCGGTGGAGGAGGCTATGGCTATTTGACACGAAAATATGGCCTTGCAGCTGATAATATTCTGGATGCAAAACTAATTGATGTTAAAGGAAGAATTCTTGATAGAAAATCTATGGGTGAGGATCTGTTTTGGGCCATACGTGGTGGTGGAGCAGCAAGCTTTGGAATCGTTCTTGCATGGAAACTTCAACTAATTCACATTCCATCGACAGTGACTGTGTTTGATGTCAAGAGGAACATGGAAGATGATGCAACAAAGAAGCTCGTTTATCAATGGCAACGCCGTGCTCACAAAGTCGATGAAGACCTATCAATCTATGCTAGGTTCCAAACTGAGAGTTCTATTGATAAAGAAGGCAATAAGAAAATTGTGCTAGGAGCTTCTTTTCGCACCACATTCCATGGAAACATGGATAGGCTCCTTCAAATAATGCGAAAGGAGTTTCCCGAAATGGGTTTGCTAAGACAAGAGTGCACTGAAATGAGTTGGGTCGAATCCTTTCTCTATCATAATTATTTCAGAAATGGAGAATCCTTAGATGTTTTACTCAACAAGACATCTAATTTCAATATGGAATCATTCAAAGCGAAATCCGACTTTGTGAAAGAGCCCATTCCAGATGACGTATTCGAAGAAATGTTAGGAAGGTTGTACGAAGAAGATGTAGGAAGAGTTTTGATAGATCTATTTCCTTTCGGAGGAAAAATGAATGAAATTTCGGAATCCGCAATCCCATTCCCATACCGAGCTGGAAATCTCTACAACATTCATTACTTGGTTAGTTGGGGAGAAGATGAGAATTTTACAACATCTCAAAAGCATATGAGTTGGGTAAGAGGACTCTATAATTATATGACTCCTTATGTGTCAAAAAATCCAAGGGCTGCATATCTCAATTTTAGAGACCTTGACATCGGGATGAATAACAATAAGGGCAACATCACAAGTGTTTATAAAAACGTTGCACGAGCTAGGATTTGGGGTACTAAGTATTTCAAGAACAATTTCAATAGGTTGGTTCATGTAAAAACTATAGTTGACCCAACTAATTTCTTTAGAAATGAGCAAAGCATCCCACCTCTTCGTTGACATTAAAATTATTGTGATTAGAGATCCTTGTTAGGTTAAATTAAAACTATTGGTATTAGTTCTTTTATTTCATTCTTTTTGAATAAAGGCCTTCTTGCGACCTTATCATGTATGTGTACCAATTTTATAAATGTTAAATAAAACTCCATTGTTATGATTTAGAATTCCCTTTATATATAATATATTGGTGCACTGCGCATGATCGACTATTTTCGTTTGAAGAATTTACACTAATTTATTAATAATAAACCATCAGTTTAAACTCATCGCTTTACACTTTTCCAAAGTTGGTGTAGTGTGATTTTCGGTTTTCCCTTAAAGGGACCGATTTTATTTCTTTTTATCTTAATTATGTCAATATAGTTTCCTATTTTTAATCTTAATTAATGTTAGCAATTAACATACCGCTCAAACACGACATCAATTGCAGCCTTTGTTTATGACCCATGATTTATTTACTTTTTTATTTAGTCCTTACCATATTGCGCTGTTGAATTTATTTTGAAATTAATTAAACCAAAAAAGTGCTTACATTAGCGCATGTTGAGTGCGATTCATCTTCTGTGGTTCAATATGTGAATGATCCAATTAGTTCGGCTGTTGAAGAGCCTATTTTAACAAATATTAGACTGCTATTGAGTGATGTTGGTGGTGATACTTGCAGTTTTGTTGCTCGCACAGGCAACAAAGCAGCCCATACACTAGCGCAATTTACCTTCTCGTTAGATTATGACTATTTTTGGTTGGAGGAATTTTCTGATTGTATTTTCAATATTGTATGTCGCGAGATGGCTATTGCTTAATAACATGCAGCATTTCATTTAAAACAATTTAATTAAACCAAAAGAGTGCTTACTTTTAAAATATATATATATATATATATATTCTTGTACTCTGAGCCTCTTTGGGCAACCATTTTATTTAAATTAATAACACGAATAAAACTATAGTATAACATTTAAAATAGCATTATACATTAGAAGACAAAATAGAATATCAAAATTTTATGTTTTTCACAACCATGAAAAGCTTTGGCAACCATTTTATTTAAATTATGGAGAGGCAACCTCAAAGAGAAGGAAACACGTATGTGAAACAACATTTAAAAATAAACACATTGTTTTCAATAGGAGATAAAAAAAATAGAATGATTACACTACGCTTTAAGCAGAAAAGAGAAAGGGTATGAACTATTAACTTTTAAAATTAAAGCTTTTTCATAATTAAAGCTTTGGATACACGTTAATGGAAGCTGCTAGTTGAGAGACGAACAAAAAGAAAAGCAAAGAAAAGAAAAAAAAAATACCTAGGTGTAATTTGATTGAATATATTTAAGGGGAAGTCTATAGTAGGGGCAGTGCTTTGCCACTACCAGTAAGGGCTAAATTCTTAGCCGTTAGATTGCTTTAGTATGGCTAAATTGACTACACCAGATTAACTAAAACGAAAAAGAAAAGTGGTCCGGAATACTTCTATGTGCACGGTCGCCACCCTTGATGGAGTTCTGGTGTCAGTTTTTGACACCACTCATACCAATACGAAGCTCTTGATGAGTTGAGTTCATTGACGTGCCGTGCGACCTCCACCTTAGCTAGAAAACCGCCGCAATCACTAGCGAAAGTTCTGAAAAGTAATAAAACTTCCGATCACTACATCTTCATCGTCTGACCTCCGATCGTGGTGATTCTGATTCCTATACACCCAGAGCAATGAGATGAATAAAATTCATCCATTTTTCCTGACTGATTTCAACCAGAGTGCCACAGGTGACCGGAGTTACCGCCGCCACTGTCATTGGAGTTTGGGGTAGGTTCCTCGTCACCTTCTTGTTTGTAGAAGGTGACGAGGAGCTTACCCCAACCAGTAGCCACCAATTTCGACATAGTGGTGAGGCTGGGAAACCTACCCCGTCCAATTTTGTCTAATCTATTTACAAGAAAAAGTGTTTGTTTTTTACTTATTTCCCATGGATTTTGTTTCTTTTTTTTTTCTTTTTCTTTTTTCTAGTTTCAGTTCTCATTTGGATAGTTTTGCTCTTGTTTGATGGTCCGGTGTTTACTGGTGATGATTTTCCGACAGGAAAGAGTTTTGGTCCGGTAATGGGGAAGGGATGAAGAAATTTACACTTGTTGTAGTTTTTTTATTCTCTATAAGCTATGTGTGAGAGGGAACATGTAAACCCTATTAGGGTTAGTAGATTCGGGGGGATGATGTGTCAGGGGTTGACAAGCGTAAGCACGGGATTTGTCGGAAGCAGATCCGACGTGGCCGAGCTATGAAGTAGATGATGATGGAGAGACATCTAACGAAGAAGTGGAGTCAGTTAGGCCTGAAGAGAACCGAAGTAGATGGATTTTAGGGCCCACTTAGTTGCCGAATGACCAGAATGCTCTGCAAAAATGTTAGAGAACTTTCAAAAATATAAGTGAGGAACTCTGAAGATGAAGAATTGTGGGAGGTGAGATCAAGCAGTTGATGGAGTTGGAGATTCAGTGGCCGAATGTGGCCTGAACAAAGCAGTGCTCTAGAGACAGACGTAGGTTACTCCAAGAGTAAAGAGAGTGACTCATATAATGGATAAGGCTTGATGCAGGGTGAGAGTAAGGCATGTAGAGGTGAGAGTGAGGCTTGTAGAGGTGGATAAGGCTCTAGTGTAGGGTGCTCTAAGAGCAGACACAAAATGCTCTGGGAGTGAAAACGTCGTGCTCTGACCATGAGCGAAAATGACCTCAAAAATGAAGACTCGAATGTTTCTAGATAATGTATAAAAATACTTTGAAGAACTCTTAAATGATGGTGGTGGAAGATCAAAAAGTGTTTTCGAGAAGCTTCTAAGGTTGTCAATACTTAGGAACTATAAAGAACTTGACGAACTTAAAGCCTTTATAGCAAAAGACTTGGAAAATATGACAGATTTTTTTACCAGAGTGTAGGCTAAATGAGAGAGAAGATGATTTGATGTTATGGTGGACTCTGATGATCTAAAATGAGAGGTATTTATAGGTAAAGATGATGGCATTTTGGCGGTAGCTCCGGAGGTCCGTACGGCATGCTCTGATGGAAACCTGTAGAAGCAATCCTAATAGAGAAAAGCCATCTGGCACTTTTCCGGAGTTGAAAAGAAGATTGACCAAAAATGGAATAGAAAGGACTGGGGATTTGCTTCGGAGGCAAATCGGCGGCGCCGAGCATGGCTTGGGTCCACAAAGAGAGCTCAATAACGTCCCGTGTTGGGCCTAGACCCTTGAATAGGCATGGTACAAATTCGGGTATCAACAACTATCATATTGTATTTATATATTAGTTTGTAATTGGATAAAATTTAAGTCTAATCATAATGTAGATCAGCTCCAATCTCAATCCAAACCTAACATTCAGAGTGGGCAATGAAGAAGGTAGAGTTGTTCAACAGGGGTATTTTTATAAATATTTTTAAAATATGGGGTCAAATTGTAACTTTTTAAAAATTGGGGGTAAAATTATAATTTAGAAAAAACATTTGCGTCAAAATATAATTTTTAAAATTTTGAGGGTCAAAAAATAATTTTAAAAATTGAGAGATCAAAATGTAATTTTTAACAAATGTAGACCAACATTGCTTCGATCCCAAAATTTAACCTCGGCATCGGTTCGGAAACTTGATCTCAACCCCTGATATTTGTACAATTTTTATAGGTTTATAAAGTTAAATTGGATAATGCGATCTAACACATAGATCTTTATTCGTATTAGATATCACACTATATATTGTATTAAATTATCGTTTCACATTAAATTATACAATGTATGAAATGTTGCCAAACATTATATTATTCTTAAATAATATAATACGAAGTGCTTATACAGTGTACCAATCATACTCTAATAGTATTATTATAATTACTAATAGCCACATATAAAAAGTAGTCTCTGTTTGTTTTTTTTGTTTTCTTGACTACCTTCTTGGGCTGAAAACTTATTGAACATACAATTAACAAGAAGCAAATATAAAGGGCCCGTTCACTTCGCTGATTCGAGTTTAGAATTCGAGTTTTTATACAGTAAAAGGCTCTCACAAACAATCACATCTAACTTTTTTGCTACAGTAAAAAGCTCTCACATAAAGTCACATCTCAACTCGAATTCTAAACTCGAATCAGCGAAGTGAACGGGGCCTGTCTTGCCCCATAAAAACACAATTAATGTTTTCTAATACTTATTACAATTACTAGAGGTAATTATTAAATTTAATATCGACCACAAAAAGAATTATAACATGTCAGTTGGTGCTTTTGTTAAAGAAAAACATTATGCATAATATTCTTATGGTCATCACGGCAAAAATTAGAATCTCTTTTAATTATTTTAAGTAGTGTTGGAATTTTGGGCTGGCAGGCCGGCCTGAGGCCTGAATTTTTCAGGCTTGGTAGGCAGGCCCAATTGCTGGCCCGTCCAAAGTTATAAATTCGCGTTCAGGTTCGAGCAGCCCAAAAATGGACACCATGCCGGAGCCCACTGCCGTCCGCTGGAGTTTTTTTTTAATTTTACCGGCCAAGCCCGATTTGCCCGAATGCCCAACCCGCCCGACTGGCCGAATTACCCGAGAAACAGTCAAATTTTTTACCGTTGGTGCTCGACCCGAAAATAAGCCCGAATGCCCGACCTACCCAAACTGCCCGAAAACCCGTCCAACGGCTAGTTTTTTAACTCTTGCCGCCCGAACCCGACCCACTGAAACCCTAAACTAGCCGTTGCACCCGATTTTTTTTTGAAAAAAAATCAATTTTTTAACCCAAAAATTTCCCTATAAATACCCTCCATCCCCCACACATTTTTCTCACTCAAACTCTCTCAATCCCTCTCAATTTCTCTCAATCTCTCTCAATTTCTCTCAATCTCTCTCAATCTCTCAAATCTCTGTCACAATTTTTTCAAAAACTATCACATTATCCTAAAGCTCCCTCTTTCAAATCGCTTTTATTTTTTTATAATGGATCCTTTTGGTTATAGTGGTATTCCCG